TGGTTAAGAATAAATTTTACAATGGTAGTGTTAAAACATCTGTTGGAGAATAGGATCCCATATCAGTCATATGATAAAATAATACATAATTAATATGTGTGAATTTCCACCCTTAATATTACCGAGACCTTTTATGATAAAACTCAACACATAATAATAAGTGGTTAAGTGGGACAATATCGAAGATATTAGTGATGGAACATGCTTCGGCCTACAAAGTTTACCAACACACTCCATATTTAAATCAATGGTTCAAATAACACTTAATAAGGTCACTATGGAATATGGATTTCACAAAAACTTGGCCCGTATATATACGCGTTCATCCCTTAACTAGTAAATAACTTAATAAGATAATATGTGAATAATTGAGTGTGTGGTTTAGTTTAATATGCAGATTTGCACATAAATTAAGGCCTATTTGATTATATGTTAGGTAGGATTAGTTTATGATAAAAGGCTCAGGGTGCTGATAAAATAGACAAAAGTTTGGAAATAGTGGGTGGGTCAAGGAGTGAAGCAAATGGATGTGCATATGTATATGGGTGATGGTGGTGGAGGCTTAGGCAGGTTACTCCACTTGCTATATTGGAATGATGATGGGCTTGAATTATTTCATGAATGGGATAGAATTAAGAAAGTGGCAATTGATGGGATGAGAAATATTAAGAAGACTCTCGATGAATTATTTGTCATCTTACAATTTAACGTTAATTTTCGTGTTAATATTATAAAATATTATGTCAAAACATAAGATGACAGAGACTTTATACAAAGTCTCACTTTTAAGAAAGTTTCCTTAACATTTCTTGGGATGGGATTTCTATTGTTTAATGAATAATATTAATAACCTAGGTTGATGCCTACTTACCCTCTTAATATAAACTTTTGAATGCTTGATTAAGGCATATAATATTCCCAAATCAATCTTTATTTTTCTCAAGTGTCGGATGCAATCATTCAGCTAAAAAATAATTACCTTTGCCTCATGATTTTCAATTGTGGTTGCGAAAATACTATTTTCATGACACTAAAATATTGTCACGGGGTAGAGTTAATTCACATTTTATAATACAGTTAAAAGATAATTTTATTTACTTTATTATCAATATTACTAACGAATCTAGTTGTTATAACTTGAGAAAATTGTCTCTAGCAAGGGTTTTTGTCCCCATTTTTTGGGTTGATGTCAACCATGTTTTCAAGTTTCCATTTGGATTGGTTGTGTTATAATTGTGCGTTGCATTTACTTTGGTGGTAATTTCTACCTCGATGTCAGTGTCTACTCCATGATAGACAACGGCGATCGTTCATCTGTATTTTATAGTCTCATTACTATTTGAGTTTTCATAAGCGTGTATTTGGTTTACCTTCGTTGTGTTATGTCAAATTTTCAACTAATATGTACTAGTGCCGAGTTTTATTTTCGTGACTGAATTGAAGACTTCATTGATTGATGGTTGTGCATGATTTTCTCTGGATAATGTGTCAACTCTACATTTGAATTCCTCTCAAAGGTTAAATTAGGTTAATGTCTTCCATATTTTTCTTCTCACGCTTAATACGATTAGACATTTTCACATTTTCAATTTTTTGTCAATGCCAAATATAAGTTTGAAAAATCAAGATTCAATTTGACATGGAGATTTGACTTGTAGGATTGAAATGAATGTTTTGAATAAGATGTGTTTTCTCCAAACTTCATAAAAAAAATATTTAAAATAATGTTCAATCTTTCTCGAGCGTGGGAAGCAACCACTCAGGAGGCAACCAATCCACAAACAATTTGAGTATACACTTGTAGGCAAACTATACTCCAAAATAGTCCTGCACTCATTCCAAATTGCTAAAATGTTGGGTACGAGTTTCAAATTGGGGAAATAACGAATGTGGTTTGGTGTTAGACAATTTCTCAAATCGCTAATTGATTTTGGATAGTGCTATCCACTCATTCATTTTTACTTCTCACACATTTCTTTCAATTTTCGATCGTCAGATCAAATGATTTGAAGAAGATCAATGACAAAAAACCAACAAGGGTCTGTGAGAGATAAAAATGAGCGTGTGAATAGCACATTCCTTAATTTTATGGTAAAACTTGACTTTTTAAAAAGAATTCTCTTTTTATAATTGTAATACAAACAAAATATATAAATGACCAGAAATAATTCCTCGTCTTAACTTGACTTATTACCCATTTTTCTTTTGTGTCTTCTTAATCTCTTCAACCACCATGTTTTTACCTTCCAAAACATCATTTACATTTACTTTAACTTCATCTTTACCTTAAAATCCATATAATTCTTGCTTGAAATTACCTCACTTCCTTTTGTCTTTTGATGTTAGGCAAATAGTATGTGCACTCAAATTCAAATCTTCCTTCCCATAAATTAAAGTAATTTAGTTAGGATATTGTCTTGTGTATTTATTAAGGTCTTTTGGTTTCAAATTGGAAAGCTTCCACCTCTAGATCAAAATAAAACCAAGTTAACACTTCACCCTCCAAATTTAGTGTGAATCAAGGTGGAGCTAGCCTTTAGGTTTCATACAAATTTGACAGTCGTGGTAAAATCCAAGCATATTTGACAATTTCATGTGTCTAAATTGGAGGCAAGTTTGACATATTTAGTTGTCTAGATGGTCAAGTCTTACTGGCATCGGCACAAACATGCACATCCTTACCCCAAATACTGTCCTATACGATCGCCTCTTTTGCCAAAATCCTCCTTTTGAAACCAACAAATTAGACCAGCTCATTGAACTCTTCCAAGTTCCAACCCCTTGTGTGCTTCAACAACTGTAAAGTCTTCTTTCAATATCTAAAATTGTATATCTTCCAAACCTGCTAAAGTTAGAAGGCTAATCCAAACTCAATTGTGATACTTCTTTGCGACTTGGGTTTTTTTTAGCAGAGAAATTTGGTTGAAACTAAAACGATTAGAATTAACTAACGACAACATAACAATTAAATATTGACGATATACTGACGAAATTCTGAAAAGCGATTGTTTTAGCAATTGAGATATGTATTTTCATTATTTCGCCCAACTTCATTTTTATTCAAAAATAAAATGTACACAACTTTCATAGCGAGATAGCCCACTTAAGAAATAGAGTTACGACATCACAATAAACAATTAATAATTAGATATCTTACTCATCACAAATATATATCGTCTTATGCTCAAGTTATCCTCGAACGTGATTTTCTTCAACTTGTTCATTTTGTTGGCAACGTTAAGCAAGACTCTTCATCACACAACCCAATTATTGGTGATGTGAAAGCTAGTTTGAGATCTTTCTCTCAAGTCTCGTATAATTCATGCCTAACATACCACTAATGTTGTGGCACATAGAATAACCAAGTTGGTCCTAGTGCATAATCTAAATTTTATTTGGTTTGATGATCCTCCAACCTTTATCCATGCAGTTCTCCTTAAAGATTGCACATAAAAATTTCAATAAAAGTAGAGAAAATTGGAACGAAACACATTTACAATAAGAGTGAAGAATTAGGCAAAGACAAATTACACGTAAAAACTTAGCATCGAACTACACATCTAATTAAGTATCCTAAAACAATTAAATCAAAAGCTAGTTTGTTGGTGTAGAAAGTAATTGGTCGAGTAAATTGCAAACCCACAAGATAAATAAATAAAATGTGACTTCCTTATTTAAAAACTGACTTAGCACTAATGGGTTTGTACATGTAGCCTCTGGTATTAACATCATCACCTACCTCCCTCTCCCTCCTTCCATCAATATTTAATCAATATTTAATAGTCAAATATAATTAAAAGTCAACAAAAAGACAAGTCCACATTGGTCAACCTCCTTTATAAACTCCCACATTACCCGTTTACATAACATAATTAGTAATCTACTAATCTTCAACCACACCACCTCACCAAATTTCATAATCCAAATCTAACTAAAAACTTCCCCCAATAAAAACAAAAAATGGTAGCTCAAACAAATCAAAATAAAATACCAAATTGGAAAGATTGTTTAGTCCGAAGAACCTCCAAATTAATAGTTGATGTGCTTCTAAAAGATAATCATTGTTTATAATGTATGTGCAAAACATTTTTCTTTCGATCAGATTGAAATTGCCAACTTATTCAAAAAAACTACATCCTGCTACTTGTATTTAAAACTCTTCGTGTTCGAATAAGAAAACTTCATACTTAAGAACATAACTGTTCATATCATGAATCACTCTGTAAATATAATCTTTGCAAAAAAAAAAAAAAATTAAAATGAAGGTCGTTTAGTCAATCTATTGTAGCAAATACATAGACGGTTCGTAATGATTTTACCAATTTTGTTCATATGTTTTTATACACTTCCATAACTAAACTTTTTAATTATTATATATATATTTTTTTTTTACAGAAACAATATTTATTGAGTGATTTATAATATAAACGATTATGATTATAAACACTAAATTTTAGAAATCAACAACAAATAATTTTAAGTAAGAAATCATACTATTTTTAAGAATACAAACCAAAATAAAAAATCAAGCACTCAACACTGTGTGTGAGCTGTTTTGACGACGACGACGACAAAAAAAAAAAAAAAAAAAAACCACTGTGAGCTGCGGACAGCGTACTCGAGTTGACAAAAGAAATCCCCCACGCAATATTCGCGTCCCACGTGCTTCCGATCCGACGCGTCTCCTCATTCCCCTGGTCCCGATCCAACGGTGCTCGCGGCACGCTTTTCCAAGCCTACTTGTTGGCCGTGGCTATTTGACTTTTGGATGCTTCAAAGCATTTCCCCGACGTCGTGTCAACGCTTCTCACGAGAGCGTGAGAGAACCTCCACTCAACAAAAATCAACCACGTCTCCCCCTTCCCGGGCCCACCGAGCCGTGCAAATATCCTCCACTCCCAACCGCGCGTTGACGGCACGCTCGTCAAAGACAACCTAGTTAAAGAGAAGCAAAAATTAATCTCGAGACTTAAAACCGACGAGTTTACTAAAAAGCACTATTCAAATAATTATCAAAAAGTCTTTTTTATTTTCCCATTTCAAAAATCCAACCCTTAAAGTCAACGCCTCTCCCTCTTCTTCTTCTTCTTCTTCTTCTTCTCAGCTTCATCTCTCTCTCTCTCTCTCTACCAATCGGCCATGAGAGCTAAACCAAAAGTTAAAGCTCGATAATCTTTCACTTCAATTTTTAATTTTTTGATTTGGGTTCGATCAGATTATGGGGAACGGCTTCGGGAAAGTGAGCGGGTGCTTCACCGGCGTCAAGGAAGGCCACCGTCACGGCAGACACGACGAGTCAGTTTTAGAATCGAACCAATACGACGAGGGACTCGGCCACTCCTTCTGCTATGTCCGACCCGACCCAGCTTGGCTCGCATCCTCCAAAGTCCACTCCGAAGAAGCAACCACCTTCAGAACCATCTCCGGCGCTTCCGTCAGCGCCAATACCTCCACCCCTCTATCCACCTCCCTAATCGATCTCTACTCCTATAACAGCATCGATCGTGCCGCCGCTTTCGAGAGCTCCACCTCTTTCGCTTCGATTCCACTGCAGCCCATCCCGAGAAATCTGATCAACTCGGGTCCGATTTCGGGCGCTGGAATTCCCGGGTCGGGTCCTCTGGAAAGAGGGTTCCTTTCTGGTCCGATCGAGCGCGGGTTCATGTCCGGTCCACTCGATCGGGGCATCTTCTCGGGTCCTATGGAAAAGGGTTACTCCGAGCAGTTGCCTCGGAGCTTCTCGATCGGCGGTCTCGGGTTTAAATCGAGATCCGGGAAGGGCAAGCTTATTCAGGTTTTACGGCGAGCGATATCGAAGACGATGTATCGGGGTCAGAACGCCATCGCTATGCCGATAAAGAGCCGCGTCGTTTCGGTCAAGGAGGATTGGGTTGTCGGCGGCGGACAGGAGAAGATTAATCACAACGAGAATTTGACCGTTAGCAGCGTGAATTTCAGTAGTGAGGGGAGTTTGGAAGACGACGAGTCGTTGGCGAGTCAAAATCTTCAGTGGGCGCAGGGAAAGGCAGGTGAAGATCGGGTGCACGTAGTCGTTTCGGAGGAGGACGGGTGGGTTTTCGTCGGGATTTACGACGGATTCAACGGCCCGGATGCGCCGGATTACTTGATGTCTAACTTGTACACGGCTGTGAACAAGGAGCTTAAAGGGTTGTTGTGGGATGAGAAGGCGGAATCGGGTGCCATTGCCGCCCCTGCAACCTCCCCTGTTCGCTCCGAAGATTCGAATTCGGAGAGTGATGGTGATTTGGGAAGGAATCCGGGGGTGGATGAGCAAGAGAATTATCCTTGTGCAAGTGGGGAGGGGAATTTAGATTCGAATTCGAGGAGAAAAGAAGGGAGAAATTCAAAAACAAAGTACCGCGGCACGGGGAGGAAATGGGAGGATAATCAGAGGAGGTGGAGGTGTGAGTGGGATAGAGAGAGAGTAGAGCTTGATCGGAGGTTAAAGGAACAGCTCAGTAAGTTTTTGGGTTCCGATGGATCGTCCACTGGAGCTCCAAGTGCGAATCACTCGGATGTTTTGAAAGCTCTGTCTGAAGCCTTGAGAAAAACAGAGGAGGCCTATTTGGAAGTTGCTGATAAGATGCTTTTGGAAAATCCTGAATTGGCTCTGATGGGTTCTTGTGTTCTCGTAATGCTGATGAAGGGCGAGGATGTTTATGTGATGAATGTGGGCGATAGTCGGGTGGTTTTGGCGCACAAGGCAGAACCCGATTATTGGTTAGGGAAGATTAGGCAGGATTTGGAGAGGATTAATGAGGAAACTTTGAATGATATGGAAGGATGTGATGGCGAGAGAGGCAATGGGATTCCCAATTTGACTGCATTTCAGCTGACCACGGATCATAGCACAAGTGAAGAAGAGGTGTGTTGTGTTTCGTTTTTCGCGTTGTTTCTTGTGTTTCTGTTTTGGTTGTTAGTTTTGAGAGGTTTGATTCATGTTTTTGTATGCTGCATTTTCTTCAGGAAGTTCAGAGAATCCGAAATGAACACCCCGAGGATGCTTGCGCTGTGATGAATGACCGTGTCAAAGGCTCCTTGAAGGTCACTCGGGCATTCGGTGCAGGTTTTCTCAAACAGGTATTGTTACATTCTACACTAGCTGCTGCTCTACAGCCTATTTGTTAGCATTCTTTCATTTAGTTGTCCATTACATCTCAAGTAATTGTGCTTGTATATCGATAATAGAAGCATTCGGATATTACAGCCATTCTGATTAGTAACCTTCAGCTGCACGAATAACTTAGAGAAAGATTAGAAGTCACTTGAAGTATCATTGCTGGAACAAATAGAAAAATATTTGAGCTGCAAATTATGAACTATTGAGATTTTAGATGCAACAGATGGATGACGGAATATATTACTGAATGCCAATTTTTGCACATTGAAGGATCTCTTCGTTTAGATTTACAATGTTTCATGACAAGATTGTTCGCTTGCTGATATCGATATTTGTCTGTCTGTTTGCAGCCTAAATGGAACAATGCACTTTTAGAGGCGTTCCAAATTGACTACATAGGGAATTCCCCGTACATCACTTGTTCTCCGTCTCTCCACCACCACAGATTAGGTCCCAAAGACAGGTTTTTGATATTATCCTCTGATGGATTGTATCAATACTTTAACAACGAAGAAGCTGTTTCCGAAGTTGAACTTTTCATCACATTGCAACCTGAAGGAGATCCGGCGCAGCATCTGGTTGAGGAAGTGCTGTTTCGTGCTGCAAAAAAGGCCGGTAAGTTGTAATCAAAATTAGAGAAAACATTTTTCCAATAAAAAAATTTAATTCATTGCAGAACACTAATACGGTGAACTTGGTTTGTATGAATCTCAGGAATGGACTTCCATGACCTTCTCCAAATACCCCAAGGGGATCGAAGGCGGTACCATGATGATGTTTCTGTCATTGTTATCTCCCTAGAAGGAAGAATATGGAGATCATGTGTATAAGTAGAGAAAATAAAAGATAAACAGATAAAAATACAGAGAAAATCCCGGAAAAGTCAGGCATTTCCTTCCTTGTTCGACATTTTTTTCTTCGTTTTTTCCCTAATCACCTCTGTAAAATACCAATTAAGCTTCAGGAAGTTCCTGAGGAGGAACTTGGTTGTGCACTTTTCTGGGTGATGAGGACTGTAAAGATATAAAATCTGGTTCTCTAGCTGATTACATAAACTTGTCACAGAAAATCAAAATTGTAATTTTTCGAATAATCTACGTACCTTGCGAAAAGGGTTTTGTTTGGCACTATGTTCTCTGCCATCACTTTACTGCAATTCTTATGATCAAACTTTTCATCTCAGCAGCATCTGCATCTTCCGCTTTTTTTGTGGGCAATTGGATTGTTGGCTTTCCAAATGTTCCTTTGCCACATAAGAAATACTAGGTTTTGGATATTTGTGTTCCCTTATCAGCATATATCTGTGTGTGTGTGTGTGTGTGTGTGTGTGTGTATTAGTATATATTGGTTCCACACACAGAAAGTGAAGCTCTTTATTTGTGTTGCACTTATTCTTTAGAGTATATGTTCTTTGTGAGATTTCTGTGGTACCGAAAGTTGACTTGTGGAACTTCAATGTACCATCATGTACTGAATCAATGGTTAGGGTAGTTTGGTGGAGAGATTCCCACTCATTTTTCCAACATTTTTTTTTTTTTTGAACGAGATTTTTCCAACATATTATTTTAATCCGAATGAAGAATCGTCACGGGGGAGCCAGCTAGCTAAAGGGAGAATAGTGTAAAGTCAACATTTGGAATGGGTCAACCTTTAGTTGACCATGTGCATAAAACCCAAACCGTTGCCTTGTCATAACCATGAAAAACGATATTCATCCTCTCTTATAAATACGTTTAAGTGAGACTTGTTGACACCTGTAATATTTATCATTTAACGTATTATAATAAGTTTAAGTTGTAACATGGTAATACTAGTAAAAGTGTATTTTGTACTTTAGTAGGGTTTACCGATACTTGACAATATATCAGCAATGTAATCGGTTTTGTGTGTCTGAAAACTTTACTTTTGAAAGTGCCTGAATAGCAATTCTCATGTACATAATGCATGTCTTTTGATCAAACTGATTCATTTGCAACACACAATGACTATTTACACGTAAAAAGTCAAATTTCTAATCATGCGCATATATGAGATTTTATATTTCTACCGGCGTATAGTATATATAATGAAATTGTTAACAGTTGAATCATTGATCGCACATCCGACCATTCATGTTCATGCCCTACATTGTAGTATAGTTGAATTTGGTATATGTATTTTGGTGATGCCACGCAGCAAAAGGAGAGCCCCAAGACATGCAGGGCCTGTTGCTGCTAATAGCTTTGAAGTTTTAATTAGAAATCATAAATCTCCTAACTGCTATCCACTTCTGAAATCCATAGTAATTGCACAAAAAAGATGCAGTTGGGGAAAGGTGGATGCCAGACCCAGACTCAGGCTCAGGCTCACTCATGAATTAATGATGTAATAAGACGACCTTTCAAACTGCAAGTCTTTCGAATATATTTTGAGTTGCGTTCGGCTACATTTGAGTTAATGCAGTTTCAGCCTATCCCATTCGCTTCCTTCGTTGAAAGGACAAAACTGCTGAATTTATTTGCAGCCGAAGGTTTTTGGTTGCCGCCCCACAACAGGAGGAGGAAAGCTTTTGGATTTTAGCAATAATGGCAGTTCGGTTCAGTGTTGAGATATAGGAGGAGTTCTTTAAGGCTGACCCAGGTTTCTAGTGAGCAATGCAGTGGTTTAGAAACTAGAATCACCACAATCCACTGTTCTAAAAACCCCTGCCTAGCGCTGCTTAAACCCCGTCTAGGTGTTAGGCAGCTGATCATCACCTCGATTAATGCATAGACGTTTGAAAATTAAAAAAATGTACCTAGACCTACTAAGGCGCCCACCTAACGCGCCCAGACCCGACTAGGTTGCAATTCACTAAGATAAAAAATATATAACTTTTATTTTGCATTTTATTTTTTTTCAATAAATTGTAATAGATTTGTTAAATACTTAAATAAACACACATTATAAGCTTCATTATGTTCCAATAACTCATAATATATATGTCATTCTATTTTGTAGTTTATGATGAAATTATATATATTTTAAGTATAAAAAGACGCATATTTACACGAAATATAATAGATTTAATTAAATCCGCCTAGTCCGTCTAGGCGCCCACCTAGCCTCCTCAGCGCCAGACCCCAACCCATCACCCGACTAGTGTCTAGCATCTTTTAGGACCTTGCCTCAATCAAGAAAATGGGCTTTGTCTAATCCTGGTGAACCTTTTCAGTTGTGGATTAAATTGGGTTGGGTTGCCACAAGATATCAAAGACTACATTTAGTAACGAATAAATATCATTTAATATTACAGTTGTGACTTTCTTTTTACTTGTATAGCTTCAACTCATGTAAATAGCGAGTTCAATATCAAATTATTATGGATGCACGTTGTATGGCTTAACCCAATTTTTCCACCTCTTAGTTTAAATGATATTGTTGTATATTGATTAGGTTTATTATTTAATATATAACATACAAAAATATCATTTTCTCAAAAAAAACAAAAAAAAAAACAAAAAAAACATAAATTTTTGCTTTAGTATTTTAGTGATTTGATGGTATGAAATAAAAGTTCAAGTGACTATGAATTCGTAGTACTTTACAAAATATTTTTCAGATGTTGTATGAATTTATAGTCAATTTAAAATTAATAATAATGCTGTCAAATATGTGGTATAAACAATATTGGTTGAGTAATACACTATTTCTTTTTTTTAATTGAAATATTAGATGGCACGACCTGGATTGAACAACAATTAAAAAAAGAGAAAAAATGGAGAATTGGACACATGGGGAATGGAGAGAGAAAGTCCTTCTTCTTCTTTGAAACGAAGGTCCAACAACAACAGAGTCATGGTGGTCTTCTCTGTGTTCCTCTTAATCTGAAATTAGATATTTCTTCTTGATCCAAAGCTTCTGTTGCACATCTATGGTGGCCTTTTCTTTTCCACCACCTGCCTAGGTCATTGGGTAGTTTTTGGAGGTCCTCACAAGCGCTTCTTCGAACTTCTGAGTGGTCTCGAGACCACCCCTAGATTTGGTCTCTCCATAATTCAAATTACCTTTGCTTCCCCCACCTTATGTGAACATAGGTGTGGACTTGAAGTGCTTCTTAAAAGCAAGACAATCTTGTAATTCTCTCGATGTATTGCAATTCCTAAGGCCTCGTTTGATAGAAAGGATAGGCTTGGATTATTCACTGTATTGAAGCCATTTTCGAGGAATAAAAATGGATGACAAATTTCTTATCTTGTCCAAGTTGTAGCTTTTACTCATGAAGAAAAGATATCCCTACTAATCCTCATAAAAAATGGTACAGATTAAAAGGGACAACTATTATTCATGAGTAACTTTCAACTTGGACAAAATAAAGAATTTATCGTTCATTTCTTTCCTTAAAATACCTATAATATAATAAATAGTCATATCCAAGTCAATCATTTGTATCAACAATGCATTAAAGATCCAAATGACACGGTCTTTTAAGTCACAATAGGGTTTGAAATAGAATAGGCCGTAGCAAACTAGAAAACCCAAATCAGAATGAGGGTGAAACGGGTCAACTAGGGTTAGGGTTTGTGGGACGACATCTTTCAATCTTAGTGGGGAGAGTTGGGGGTGGATCTCGTGAGAAGTTTTGAAGCAATTGAGTCTTTCTTGAAAAAATAAAGGTTCAAAAGGGCTAGGGTTTGTGGTTTGCTTTGTGCGCAAGGGCTCTGTAGTGCGGGGTGGCACTGCTATGGCCGGTAAAGAGAAGAGTGTGGATATGGACGATTTGGGATCGCGGTTTGGTGCTAAGTTACAGTTATCCGAAAAGGAGAGAGAGGGCGTTATGATCGAGAGGAAGGCTATTGAAAAAGCCTTGCTTGGGTTCCAGTTTACTCTAGTAGCAGAGGTGTCTATGAAAAATGATATGCATGGAGAGTTTTTCATTGATCGGTTTATGTCTTTTTGGAGAGGACGGGAATGAGTGTCTATTAGGGACTTGGGGGATAGACGTTTTCTAGAGAGGTTTGTTGGAGAACAATATATGCAGCGTGTTCTAGAGGTAGACCAACCATGGATGTTCAAGAATGACTTGGTGTTAGTTGCGGATTGCACGTTGCGAGGAAATGGTCGCTAGGAGTCACTTTCGCTTGTTGTATTTTGCGTTCAAGTTCACAGTGTCCCACCACTGAGTATGACGTCAGCGGTTGCACAATCTATTGGTGGTTTAATGGGCACAGTTATGAAGGTGGATACTTTTGTCAGTAAGGATTGTATCGATCGTTTTCTTAGAGTGAAAATCCGCTTTAACGTTAAAGAACCATTGATGAAGGGTACGTTCATAAGCTTTCCTGATGATGGCACGGTGTGGGTGGATTTTAAATATGAATATCTTCCCAAGTATTGCCTAATCTTTGGAGCACTCTACTAGGGTTTGTAAAGAGCTAAATATAGAGGGAGATCATATGGAGTCCAAAAAAGAGCAGGAAGGAATGTATGCTTTTAAAGGTTTGGATGCTAAATTTGATCTTAGAGGAAAACCTTTGGATTATGGTTTCCGAAAATCAGGTGCGTGGGTTCAAACGGGGGATGCATGAATCAGGAAAAGCCAAGATGAGAATGGTCGAGAGGGAGAGAGGAGTATAAGAGAGAAGGAATGTCATCTGATTCATATTGGATGAAGCATTCTATTGATCATGGGGAGGGTGAATCTCATAACACAATGCGAGATGAGGATACGAGTGATGAGGAACTAGTTGATACTGCCGTGTCACCTAGCAAGCCTCGAACAAAATTACGAGGGGCTACTTATATTGGTAGTCTCTCAGAGAGGATAAGAAAACAAAGGGATGAGGAAGAGAAGGCACGGAGGGCTAGAGATGAGGTCTTTGATGCAGGATTGATCGGACCGGGATAAGTGGTTGCGCCGGGGGTAGATAATGTACTTAAGACCTTGTAAGAAGGGCCTGACGCAAATATGGGAGTTCTCACATCTCAAGAAAATGGAAGAGTGGACAGTCGGAGTTAATGCTGGATGTGGGTCCTATGCTCGTTGCGAATCATTCGAAGGATGATGATCCTTTTGACTTGGCTCCGATTATTGAGGCAATGACTAAAGAGCAGAAGGGTAAGAACAGGGTAATTCAGGAGGTGGAGGTTGAGCCATAGCATGTGTGTGTGG